GGTCCAAATTTAAAATGCAAATAAATAATTATACTTAAGTTACGGTCAATATTATTATGAACATAAATAAAATAATAATTATTTATAGTTTAATAAATTACTCAACTACTTATATTTTTTATTTGGACAGTTTATACAAAAATAAATTTCATTTAATTAATGAAACAATATAAATTTCAATACTATATTTTCACGTAGTTTTAAATATCTGATAAATTTTTACCAAAATAATTATTTTATGGAATTACATTGTATTCAAATCGAATTTCTAAACAAAATTTTAAAGTGACACTTATTTTAAAAGGAATATAATATAATTTAATGGAAAATGCTACGGTCCCGTTACAAAACTATTCCACCGGGGTTTGTAACTGTTAGATCATCATGTAACTGTCAGAAATAGTTGATCTAACGGTTACAAATCCTGATGGGATGGTTCCGTAACGGAATCATAGCATCTCCTCTATTTATATTTAGTTATGTGCACCACATAAGTTGGGTACTAATTATAAATAAACATATTTTATATAATTTTGCATAATTTAAATTTCATATAACATTTTAAATAAACTAATATAGGTAAATTATATTACATATTGTTTCCATATTTTTTAATTTATAAATAATTTTAAATGTGCATTTTTAAATATAAATATTTATGAATATCTCTTACCCGTGCATAGCACGGGATTCGTACTAGTTATGAAATGATGTTTGAATGCATAAATTTTTTTTACCGAGTATTGTCTTTGACCAGCTTCATCCTTATACATATTTTTTATAAAAAAAAATTAAATCGAAAGATTAATATGAAATGATTATGATATATAAAAGAAAGATATTTGGTATTGTCAAAGCATCATTCTTTACTATATTACATAAAAGAAAATTATCTATCAAAACAATACCCCTAACATGAAACCACTCATTAGTTAGATAGAAATTTCTTTTGTAAATTGTAGCTTTGTAGATTAAGAAAGTGACGACAAAATTTGTCATAACAATAAT